CCTTCCCCACATCCCCCCGGGCGCCGCCGCCACAAAAAAAAAAGTAAGAATGAAAGTAAAAAAATTTGTCTTCAGGCTACATTATTCGACAAATTTCCAGCTAGCCAGAAGTAGTTCCACTTGTAGCCTGGAAATCCAGCAGCCAGACTGCCATTTAAAGCTGTCCCAGCATATACTTTGCAGGGTTTGTTGACTGGGACATAGTTTGCTACTTTTTTGTTATGAGAAAAACTTAGAATATGGTCAATTAGGTCGGCACAAAATTGTTCCTTTCACATTTTTATTGAAGCAGCCAATTCTATTTCAATTTCTCCATGACAACTGTTAGGCTAATGAGTAAAAACTTGTGTCTTACATTGATGCGAAGCAATTAATATGTAAGTAAGGATCCAAGACCTAATAATTTAAAATTTTGGATCAAAATTGGATTCCTGACTTATGATCTAACCCTTGTATCCGAGAAGGATCCAAGAGTTGGATCCTATCAAGTGGTATCATTTGTTAAGAAATTGAGTTAATTTCTTTTAGATAAATTTTTTGTTTTGTGTGGAAGTAATTAGTTTTTTAATTAGTTTTAGTTACTTGAAATAGTAGCCAAGGAATATTCTATTTAGTTTAGAATTAGAAGTTATTTCCTATTCTGTATAAGTATAGGAATTAGAATTGATTTCTTACTATTATTTGAGTTATGGCCAAATAATGTTCTCTATAAATAAATGGATTAGCATACTACACAAGTGACACACAAGGGCATACAAGAGGCGACATGTAGCCTTATACATGGGGTGGTGAGAGATGGTTCTTGGAAGATGAGAGATGGTATACAAGAGTTGGATTTGGGTTCAAATTGTATTCTTATATAGGATTTTCCTCTCATAATAAATAACGGATTTTCTTTCCGTGGACGTAGGCTCAATGATGGAGCCGAACCATATTAAATATTGTATGTCGTTTATCTTTAATGCTTGTGGCTTGTTTCTCATTAAATTGTTGTGTACTTGATATTTCAATAGTTGTTTGTTCCGCATTTGGATTCTAATGAGTGGTATCAGAGTTTCACATTGCGAGATTGGGCAATAAAGCAAAGTTTCGTGGTTGGATTCTAGTTAACTATAGAGATCAAGTGGATTGGTAGCTGTTACTTATTGAACAATTTAATGAGTGGTATTCTTATTTCAATTGTTTGGCAAAAAGCATTGATGGTGAAGGATGGAAAGTCGAAAAGCATGAAAATACTTGATAGTAAATTTAGACAGGTGATTCAAGGGTCAAGAAAAGATAGAGTTCAATATTGATTTTGGACATGAATCGGTGGAGACTTTCTCACACCTTCAACGGTTGATATTTCATCCTGGTGGATTTTAGATTTTGGTTATGTTCTTTGGATGGTGTGACGCGTGTTCCAAAGAAACAAAAAAAATCTAATTTTCATGTGCCAGAAGACTCTGACAGTTACGAATTTTTTGTTTTAGGTGGAGTTTTGAAAATCACACGTGGCGAGACAGTCCCGAGAATGGGAAGAAGTATGGTGATTTTATTACTTGGTTGCCTCAATGGTTAGGCTTAGAGCTCACAGAAGGGGATCTCTAATTGCAAGTGGTGGTAAGAAGAAATCCTGCAAAGGGAGATGGTGAATTGAGACACCTTTTCACGAGTCAACTGGAGGTTGGACTCGGGATAATTACACATATTCATTTGCCGATTGAATCAATTTGGTGTCAGGACTGTATTGATTCAGGTGTGTAGTTCGGTACTATATTATTTGGTAGTTGAAGGCAAATGGTTGTTAAAAGAAATTTTCGCCAAGGTAAAGATTTGTTAGGAAATTGGCTTAATTTCTTTTAGGTAGATTTCTTGTTTTGTGTGGAAGTAACTAGTTTTCCAATTGATTTTAGTTACTTGAAATAGTAGTCAAGAAATATTCTATTTAATTTAGGATTAGAAGTTATTTCCTATTCTATACAAGTATAGGAATTAGAATTGGTTTCCTATTATTTTTTGGGTTATGACCAAATAATGTTCTCTATAAATAGATGGGTTAGCATACTATACAAGTGACACAGAAGGACATACAAGAGGCGACATGTAGTCTTATACATGGGGTGGCAAGAGAGGGTTTTTGGGAGATGAGAGATGGTATACAAGAGTTGAGTTTGTGTTCAAATTGTATTCTTGTATAGGATTTTCTTCTCATAATAAATAATGGATTTTCTCTCCGTGGACGTAGATTCAATGGTGGAGCCGAACCACGTTAAATATTGTGTGTCGTTTATCTTTAATACTTGTGTCTTGTTTTTCATTAAATTGTTGTGTACTTGATATCTCAATAGTTGTTTGTTCCGCGCTTGGATCCTAACAACAACTAGGGATGTTGATAGCTGATATATTTCCTATTTATATAAGAAAGTTTTCTGTATTAGATTAGTACTGCATTATTGTTTTCAGAAAAGCTTAAAGTGGATTTAAAAGAAAAAAAAAAAGAAAAAAGAAGCTCAATTTAGTTAGTAGCGGCATTAATATTTGTAAACTTCTTAATTCGAGCATCAAATCCTGTCGCTTCCCCTTTCATCTTGTAATTCTCTTGAAGAGCCTATGGATCATATAATTCAGCAAGATCTTTATTAAATGGTGCATGAACTCTATGGAGATCGATTAATGTCTTTGAAAAAGTTAATAATTATCCTCTCAAGAAAAAATTGAATTTTAACAAATTGGATGTCTAAACATGGACTTTTATCCAGATTGCAAGACAAGTTAAGAATAATTTTAGGACGTTCTCGAAAATTAGAAAACTTAAACCAAATAATTATTATTATCTTACTTGAACCTCAAAACGTAAGAGGTACGGAGCCAATATAATTACAATTTACCTTTAGATAATTAATCAACACGTACGACAAAATTGCGCTTAATTTTTTTTTATTGACAATTATGTCATAGCATAAGCCTATTTTGGGATTCTTTTCAAATTAGTAACTGGGCAGTCAACTACAAATCAAGTATTTTGATTGATAATTCATTGATCCAAAAATAAAAAGCAATTTTACAGGCAACGATGGCAAAGGCAGTATAGTGAAAACCTATCTTTTGTAAACTGGTAGGAGGAAACGCCTTCAGAATTTTAGTTACACAGAGATGTTGTCGTCTTTGCAAAAAAATACACAAATATTAGGTAACTAAATCTTTCTTGAAGCAATAAATAAAAGTCACTTGTGAAAAGATCTTTAAAAATTGGAATATATGATTGCAACTGCTGTACCGTATGAAGCATGGTTGGCTACTTTTCTTTGTATCTATCATTTCTGTGTCAAGGCTTAAAGCAATTCCTGGTCAGACAACAAATAGATAAATTGTTTTGTCAAAATAATAATGACTATCAATCATTGTGTGGAATAAAGATTTGAATCTAATAAGCATCACAAATATTCTTTTTTAATTATCCCATGAAATTCTTGTGTAAAAATACTCCAAGCTCGTGACATTGAAAACATGTTATTGAACAATTAAATGATTCCAGACAGATTATATACCTTTATTTGGACAATTTTGTTAAACAAATTAAATTACTTTGCAATTTAACAATTGAGTTTATAATGGTGTTACCCTCATTCCCATAAACAAATGTATGCCTTTTCTTTTCTTGATTAACCAAAAAATTTGTGTAATATTACACAAAAATAAAAACAAATAAAAGAAGACTATAGTTAAAGTCATTGGAACCATTATATCTTGTTATAGATCTCTTTCCCTCCCCCCCCCCCCCCCCCTTTTTCAATTAGATTAAGTGGCTATGGTAAGTAACTAAATATTGTGAGATTTCCTCCCTCACTTAGAGATAGGGATGGCAATAGAATTAGATGCCTGCAGAGGAGGCATTCCATTGTAACAGTAGTATTCCACTGTTTTAAATCTGGTTATAGTTGAAATGCAGATTATTCAGGTTCAGGTCCGGGCGATATAGATAAACATCAAGTTAAAGTCAAGGGCTGTTTGCACTCAAAATATCGTAGTTCTTGCTGGATATCAAATAGCAAAGGCAATTGGTTGGATATCAACACCCCTTCCCCTCCTCCTTCCCCGGCCGCCAAAAAGGGAAAAAAAAAAAAAAAGCTGCATACATTTGACAAAATAGCGGCCAGCCGGAAAGAGTTCCGCTTGTAGCCTGAAACCCCACCGGCTAGTCGGCCATTTAAAGCTTGCCCCAGTGTATGCTTTGCAGACTTTGTTGATGAGAACATAATTTCCTACTTTTTTTTGTCATGAGAAAAACTTAGTAAGAATAGTCGGCACAAAACTGTTCCTTTCATATGTTTATTGAAGCAGCCAAAGGACTTTGGCTTCGTTTGGATTGATGAATTTAACGAAGGGTTTGAAATCCAACCAAATCGCTTTAGTTATTCAGATGGATTAAGAAGCATTTGACTTTATAATTCGTCAATTATCAAAATGCGTTTTAAATACTAGAACAGATAGTGATTTACAAATTCAAATGCTTTCTAAATAATCTAAACAACTAGAGGAATTTGAGAGAATTTCAAATCCTCCGTTAAATCTCTCAATCAAGACACACAGCACACACAACTGCAGGAGCTTAATAGCTAATATATTTCCGATTTATACAAGAAATGTTTCTGTATCAAATTAGTACAGCATTATTGCCTTTAGACAAGCTTACAGCAGAAATTTTTTTTTTTTTTGAAAAAAAAAAGGCAACTAATCTGATCGTACGAGAAGCTGTCAAATCGTTCCAAATGCTCAATTGGCTAGTAATGGTAGATAAATCATGTATAGTTATTAATTCGAGTACCAAATCCTCTCACTTCCCCTTTCACCTCTGTAAGTCCCTTGAAGGCCCGATGCATGGATCATAATAATTATGGTAATCTTTGTAAAATGGTATTCGATCGTTAATGTCTGTGTAAAAGTCAATAATTAGCCTCTCCAAAAAAAAAAAAAAAAAAAGTGTGTAATACTACACAAAAATTAAAAAAAAAAAAAACAAAGAAAAGAATACTCTTATAGGCAAATTCATTGGAAGTGAATGAAGCCCATTATCTTCTATTTTGAGATTTCCTCCCCAACTCAGAGAGAGACAGCACTTAGTTGCCCTATAAAAATCATCATAAATCATGTCATTAAACGTAATCTTCTATAATAGAACCCTTTGTAATTCTTAATTTTGCTTTCCTTTTCTTCTTCTTCAACATTTCAACTAGGCTTTGCTCTTTCTGCCCTAAAATTTCACAAGAAATGCAACTTGAGATCAGGGCTGTATCAGATAAATCAAGCCCTTTGCATCTATGATTCCATCCCCTCCCACAAGCTCTTCCAGTCTTGCACCATCTTAGTCCTCCCTCTTCCAGTCTTCAGCTAACCATCCCACAAGCTCTTGACCAGGTCACTCCCTCTGGACTCCATTTAATAAAGGTTAGTGCTTAGTTCATGATCCACAAGTTCACACCCACTTCCATCATCAATCATGCACCAACTGCAACTATAAAACAAACCAGTAAGTCCCAAATCTTGTGTCATATGTGCCACTTGCCACATTAAGTATTCAATTCTAGTACATACACATGATCAAGCACAATGACAATCTGACTTCAAAACCATATGTTAGCAAGTGCCATGAAAATCACCTACCCAAAAAAAAAAAAAGAAGAAAAAAGAACCATGAAAATCCGACTTTGAAGCATCAGTACTATTTTCCGATCCTATCGGCTTAGGGACCACTTTCTCCATCAGCAATGCAAAATGTCAATGCTTATGACCATGACAGAATCTCAAATATCATGGTAGCTCTGGTAAAATTAAACGACTCTACCTCATATGAGAGTACTGATGTGACCGTACCTATCTTCACACAATCTTGATCAAGTACAGTCCTCAAAATTTTTAACCAACACTCTGACCGTACGGGAGTGGTTGACAAGTAGACTTCCCTGCAGAGAGAGTTTTTAACTTTGAAGATATACTTATATAATCCTTGAATAGATGAAGCATTAGAGATAAGACAACAGTATGCTATCCAATTGTCATGCTAAATTAAGAAATGATTTCTCAGTAAGTACAAAACTACTCACCACATAAGCTGCAATAATTTATTTCACATGACTTGATCTTTGAAGAGGATGTGAACCGTACAATGAATTTGAACTACCAAATTGTTGCAAGGTTGCTGTCAGTGTCAGATTGGTTTAAAGAAGCCAATCCAAACACCTAAGATTGGTTATAACTTCCCTTTTCACCACCTAAAACCATTTCACAATTCCATAGGGCTCAGGCTAAAGCATGTTAAATGTGAGACCCTGAAAACAAAAATATTAACACCTGCTACGAGAACACTAGAGCTACCATACCAACTTTTGTTAAAAATCATAAAACAAAAATTTTCATTTCAAGGAATAACGCATCAATTTGTCTATCTCAAACTATGTGGGTATAAAAGGCTGTCCATGAGCCACTAAAATGACTACGCCCATCCAAGGTGAGGAAACCATAACGAAGACCACAAACCACAAAATCAGACAGCAATAGGATATTAATAACAAACACGTTTAGAACAAGAATTTGAAAAATTACAGGCAGTGGAACAACTGATATAAATCAAAGTATCAAAATGTACAAGATCCAACTCTTATAGAGATGCTATTCTTATGACTTTTTTTTGTGGTTTTTATTTTTTGGAGAGAAAGAGAATTGATCAGATGCATGAACTACAAAACAAGCAAGTTCTTTGGAAGGACTTGGGTAGGGTAGCAAATGATATCAAGAAATGTGGGTTCAAGACTTCAAAAGCAAGTAAGGCAATACAGGGACCATAGAAGAAAAATTTTTCTTCTTTCAGAGCACATGGAACTAACAAAACAAGCAAGTTCTTTGGAAGGACTTGGGTAGGGTAGCAAATGATATCAAGAAATGTGGGTTCAAGACTTCAAAAGCAAGTAAGGCAATACAGGGACCATAGAAGAAAAACTTTTCTTCTTTGAGCACAAGGAAATTAACTGCAGAATCTCTACTTTTCATTTCCCTATTGTGTGGTGCAGACATAATTGGCAAAATGCTGATTTCACCAACTAAAGCCAGGGTCTCAACATAGGTCAAAAAGAATAGATAGGTCAGTTCATAGTTTTATTTACCCATCTCCATGCTTCTTTTTCTTAACTGCATCCATCCAAGAGTAGGAGTCCATTAGAATCTTACCTTGCAATCTCAACATATGACTCTGTACCCAGCAGTGTCGTTTCTCAAACTAACCTTTTCAACTAATTTACCAACTTGAACTGCTCCAGAACCTCAGAACCCATTCCACTCTGGTTTCTCCAGGACACAGAGGTGTACTTACACATATCTTGATTTCTTCTTTCAAAAGATGAGCTAAGTTTTTAAGAGTCCTTAATTTTTTGAACCTGGGCTGTAGCTGAGTAAAGTAAACAATAGGTTCTTGCAAGAACATAAATTCCACGTGCATAAATAAATCATGAAAGGCATTTAATTTAGTAATTTAACTGCTAATTCACATCAAACTTCGATTCCAGGAACTATCAAATTTAAAATCATACAAGCACATAATAAGCATTATTCTAAAAAAAAGATACTAACTAGAATATAAAAGTCACCAGTAGTGCATGAAATCAAAATCCTAAATAGTGGTGCCTAAACTTGCAAATAGTATTAGGATGAATCTTTTCTACACTGTCAGCGTTGGATAAATGACAACTATGCAAAATTTGAATTTGAAATTGAGCTTTTGCACACGTCATTAATCCAACGGTGATAATGTATACACTATCAATGTATATAAGATTTACTCATAGTATTATTGTCATCCTTTTGTCTGCAGCAATCCTGGAATTTTCCCAACTTTTAGCCACAGCAGGACTTCAAAGGCTGGTATAAAGTGGAGAACCAATTATGAAAATGCAAACTAATTTATAGACACAGTCACATATCTAGTATAGCCAGGACCAGAGTTTTATGCTCTTTCTGCACGTAAAACAAACAACAAGCAAGCTTTCACTGGTGTAATCATGCATATAATACATGTAACCATAATTTCTCTCTCCAAAATGCATTTTGACATACAATTCTGGTTAGATTATCACATGATCATAAATAGATACATGGAAGAAAAGTAACATACATGAGATTTTTAACTTAAGCATTGGGGAGAGGTCTACAAAAGTTTGACGCTATCATCAAACATGTACACATACCCAGAGATATTTTGCCATTTTATACAGATATTTTAGACAGAGATGTGGTATCATAACTGATTATCCCAGTCTCAAATAAATATTCAGAAGTCCACCAAATACCACAAATTTAATATACCTTATAGTATGTATTTTGCTTCAAACTATGTCCTCTTAAAAGTATCCTCTTCAAATACCAATTCTATCTATTAATCCCATAAACCATTCTGCTGGTTAAATAACTACATAATAAACAGCGTGAATCAATAATGTGTCAAAAGCCATACCTATGCATATGCTCCACAGGTTTGGATTGGAAAAGAAAAAGAAAAACCACATTTGAGATTAGGTGCATCAGTCCATTAGACAAACTACTAACTTGCCTAAATTCATTATGTTCTTTAAAGTAATTGTACAAATTATGGAGTTATTCAATCCAATTGACAGTTCATCGGGTATTTCAAGGCCAATGATAATTCATTGCGACTACTGGCAGAACCAGAGGTAGGTTGAGATTTTCTCTTCCACCCCCTCCCCCTTTTTTTGTGTGGGGGGGAAGGGGTTGTTTGCAGGGGGAGAGGCGCTACACAGTAAAGATGTAATACTTGAGAGGGCACCCTTACAAGTTTGTAAAAAATTCGTGGGACAAAAGATAATACTTACAAGGATATGAATTGAAACCTTTTAATATTATAAGGGGATTAAAAAGGATTTCCAAAATCTTGGGTGGCCAAAGTTTAATATATAACCAAAAATTTTTAATTTTTTAAGGAGATATAGAAGAATTTTTAGAATCTTGTAGCAGAGGGAGGGGGGCCTGCCACTCTGCCCCCCTTTACATCCGCCAGTGACTCTCAGACAATCTACTGCAAAGGCAGTTCAAGATGGTAAAGTGCATTTTCCCTGATACTTATCAAGAAGTTTACCATGCCAGCATCAACCTTTTCAAGGATGATCAAAGCAATATCATCATGGTTTACTGGTTTAGTGCACGATCACGGAGTAACAAAGTAGATTCATTCATTCACGTATCTACAACCCATAAGATAGTATATATAACTGACAGCAGAGGGTAGAAACTGAATTATTAGATTTATTTATTGAGAGGTTAGGTAACCCTGAATTCACCTTTTCTTTTCAACATCTCCTCTAACTGCCTGTCATTTTACCATACCTATAATGCAAGAAGAACCAAAAAAGAAACAAAAGCAAGTGGGGCACCACAAAGTCTATTAATAGTTGTATATACAACATTTACAACCATGGTAATGACATATAGAAGAAGGGGTACTAATCCAGCACTGATCAAGAGCTAACAAAGAGCCTAATTTGTAAGCCTAGGTCACACCACTTTCATGCCATGTGCTTTTGAGGAGCAAAGGACCAACATGGACAACTCCTAACATGACTCGAGACCAAATCCTGGCATTAACAGAAAACGAGCTTTTGTGCTTTGACTTCCTTTGCACTAGCTATAACCTTTTCAAATTGTGTATGATCAACTTGAGATTCATATCACAAAATCTAGCACTACTGGTAACAATTGTGGACAAAAATATCAGGCGTTACAAGATTTCTTTTCCTTTATTTCTTTTTTTTTTATTCTGGAGGGTGGTGGGAAGGTGGAAGGGAGCAGGAGGGAGGAGGATTTTGGAAGGGACTGTCTTGAAATATTCAAATCTTCTTTGTGCATGTGTAACTTTTTCAAACTTGGTGGCACAGGGCTCCAACACTATCTGTAGCCTTTGGTCCTTGTCCCCTTTGAAAGAGATGCTATTTCAGTCTACCAAACCCATACCCTCCTAGGATTGGACCACAATTGGGCAATCATAAAACCATGAAAAACCTAGTAACAATACTTGGTCATTTTCATTTGACTCTAATCTGCCTATTTCAGCCTGCTAAAGATTACTTCAAACTGATTCCATGCCCCCAACTTGCATTTCTTTCCTAACTACTGAGTCCAGTAAAAATCTTTTACGTAGATCAACCATCAAGGCAACCAGTTTCACTTTTTGTCCCTTAAAACTCTAAACAGAGCCCAAAACTTATCCGAAGCCCAACCCTCCCCCCTCCCCCCCACAAAAAAAAAAATTTCCCATATATTTTACATTGATCAGAAGCTAAGTCTGGGGCCATCAAGAAGAAAAGACATAAACTTTAAAAAATTTCTTAACCTCATTTAAGATTTTCCAGCAGTCATTCTGTCAGTCCCATACTTATCTGCGATCATCCATTCTCCAGCATCCATCATATTTTACAGCTTGGAATTTAACTTCATGAAGCCCTCATTCCCTTGTGAATCTTTACAGTTATCAACCTCTGAGGAACTTTTATACAACATCAGCTTACATCAGCTCCCTGATTACTTATCCTTACACCATGAATAGAAACTGCATCACAATGAACCAAAACTGATTGTATTGACTCTTCACTGCATTCTTGGCAAGGAATAGCATAAGACTTTCAAGTTTTTAACTTCATTGGAGTTTAACTTCATGAAGCCCTCATCCCATTGTGAATCTTTACAGTTATCAACCTCTGAGGAACTTTTAAACTACATCAGCTTACATCAGCTCCCTGATTAGTTATCCTCACACCATGAATAGAAATTGCATCACAATGAACCAAAACTGATTGTATTGACTCTTCACTGCATTCTTGGTAAGGACTAGCACAAGACTTTCAAGTTTTTAAATAACTCCAGTAAGTGAATTGCGAGTTGTGGAAAAGTCCCTCATTACCCCTGCAGCTACAGAAAAATTCCAAAAAGCTTGATTTCACAGCAGAAAAACTGTCATGGTTGACAGGCAGAATTTGATTTATCCAAAAGACATGTTAAGAGAAACCCCAAATTTGGACTTTTATGGACTTTAGTGTGAAAACTTTAGACAAAAATACAACAAAAGAAGAAGAATAAATTGAAAAAGTACATCTTATATCATCACTATTCAATTTGGAGAAAAATATACACATGTGCGACAAGTGTTGCAACCAAATGTCATTTAACATCCACAAAGAACAATGCTTTGCTACTTAGAAATACCTTTTCAGGCAATACAGTTTCTAGATAGGCGGCAATTTGCTACTAGGCCCATAGCCTTTTACAATTCCTACTCTTTCTACATCCAAACCAAAAAAAAATAAAGGTATCAAAAAGTATCTGATACCTGAAACTTGTGAATCACAATGCCTAACCAACATCAAAAGAATAAGCCATATAGGCATACAAAGGTCATGAGCCCATCTAGCATGCTCCAAATGTCTTCCCAAGGACAAGAAAACCTAGCAATTCAGACCTAGAATGTGAATTTTGATTTACTCCAAAGTACTAATAAACTAGCATGTCAGTCTACTCTCAAAAAGTTTCTTAGGTACCTTACACTAAATTAAAACCCGAAACCAGAAGTATCCTGTATTTGCATATGGAAGATGCTCAGTAGCATGCCTGATATAAATCCTTCCAGAACCTAACTCTTCGTGAATCCACCTAGCAACATTGTACCTCAACAGCATCATTCAAATGCAAGCAATAAATACAGATGAGCCCTGACAATCCCAGAATCTCCCAAATAAATTAATCCTCTTGATCAATGAAAGGAATCTTTAAGTCAATATGCAGACTTGTGATTGACAATCCATTACCCACAATGAAGAAGATTTCAACATCATAAGTTTATTTAAAAAGCAAACTGATAGGTTTGAGAAATGTTGGTCATTCATAAGTTTATATGATGTTTCGCATTAAAAGCTGACCATTTCTTATCCATATGTGAGATCCTTATGGGACACTTCAAATTGCATATTTCTACATACTTGCTTCCTGTATTACTATTGTAAAGCGTCACTCTTTAAAATGGTTTAATAGAACATATCTAGACATTATGAATTTGCTCCAGTTAATAGGGAAAAAGAAGAAACTAACAAAAGTCACAAAGTAGGAATGATGACAATATATAAGCTTCTGAATAAGGTATTCCACTGTTTGTGCTCATTGCATCTACATGAAAATAGCAATAGCTGAATGTACAAAAAGACATCCACTGAAAGTGCATAAGCACTATAATGCGCATAACTGACAAATGCAAAAAGATTTTAAAGAAATAGAAATTGTAAAAATATCTATAAGCAGAAAAATGCAGGGTCAAGGAATTACCAGCAATCAAAAACCCCTAAATCTTGAATCATTTTAGCAAATTCAGGAAGGAGAATCCACAAAAATCCATTCAATTAGACTTAAGAACCACGTATTGCCAAATCCACTACAAGGCAGTATCAATCTGGACCATCATTTATATTTCCAAGGGCACTTAACCCAGATTTAGGATCATCATTTTGAAGCCTTTGTTTGGTAATAGAAAATCTGCATTTTATGGGTTAACAGGTATATCTTCTCAGCTGCAATTTGCAGCAAATGACTTGAACGCAGTCTGCCCATAACATGCAAAAGAAGTCACACCAGTGTATGACAAATCAGAGTTTTGCACTTAGCAAGATCTAACATTTTCTGAAACAACAGACACAGCCACACTTCACTGCCACATTCACACCTATCTTGAGGGCAGAGGAGAGAGAAGCAAATAAAAATCCTGTCAAGGTGGTAAGTAACACAATCAAGCAGAAAACTGTTAGAGCTAAACCAATGCACAAGCAACAAGCAGAAGGGTCCTTGCCTTTGATTACTGAAATATTTGGCCCTGGGTTAAACAAATTTTAACAACCAAAAGTACATTGTATGTGACCATTGAAACTTATATCAGACAATAAAATCTCTATCCTTTTGTTTACACTTTACATGACATTCATCTCCAGACATTTCCATGGGTACAGATTGGTTTCACGCTTCAAAATTGGTTTCATCTTCATTACTTGAGTGATTCTGTTCTGAATACCCTCTTCAATTTTCTTGCAGTATTTTCTGTCTAAAACATTGATCTGACTTGAAGACTTTAAAGCATCTTGAACTAACGTATATGTATACTCTCTGGGAATTGATCCTTGCTCTACCAACTCAACTAGAAAATCCCATGCCTCCACAACCCTTCCTGCTTCACAGAAAGCATGAATTATCGGAGTATACGAACTAGTTGTTGGGGTTGCATGATTCAGTTCTTTCATTTTCTTCAGCATCTCAATTGCCCTATCAATTTCATTCACTGCACTGTAATACCTGATAAAAGAATTATAAGTAACCCTATTAGGCAAACAGCCTCTCTTAATCATATCATCAAGCAACTCCAATGCCCTCTCTATCCTATAAGTCTTACAGCATCCATTAATCAAACAATTATAAGTCACAACATCAGGAACAAACCCTTTAAACATCATTATACGAAACAAGTGATTCGCCTCCCACAAACGCCCCCTGGTGGCTTTCTTAACACCAGTTTCCATACCATATCTACAATAAGAACTAATCAAAATTGTATAAGTAAAGGTATCAGGAGGACATCTAAAACCTGGCAACTCCATTTGTTCCAACAAAAGCTTAGCTTTCTTAAAATTCCGAACCCTACAAAGAGCATGAATTATGGTATTAAATGCAACAACATCAGGCTTACAATGAAATTGCTTCATCCTATAAAATGCAGCCAATGCTTCATTAACCAATCCCTCTTCCCCCAAAACCTTAATGACACAAGTCATAATAGAGGTATTAACAATCCCTTTTCTTGACATCTTTCTAAGAAATTCCCAAAGGGGTTTTAAGCTATTCCCCTTTACCAAAACAAGGGCCATTTCTTTGCAAGTAAACTCACTGTGAATAAACCCAAAATGGGATTCAACCCAATAGTAAAAGTCAGTAGCTTTTTTCAATCCAAGATTGATTTTTTCTTGGTTTCTATGAGCAGCAGGGCCAAGAACGAGTATACCCTTTTGAGCTTTGAATGATTCAATCTTAAGGCTTCTTTGTCTCAGTGGTGCCCGGTGGCGAAAGCCCTTTTGACTGCCAATTGATCTCGGGGATTGAAACAGGAATCTTGGGATGAATCTTAGAACTTCAGTAACTGTTTCTGTTGTCCAAATTGGAATTTTGGCCTGTGGGGTGTTTTGCACTGAGGCTGAGGCTGAAATGCTTGTTTCAAAAGGTTGGTTTTTTATTATTGCAGCCAAAATTTGATTTACAAAAGGAGTTTGAGAGGGAGAACGATGAAGAGGTGCTGAAGGATTCATGTAGCAGTACTATTTCTTTGCCCCAAAAAAAATGGTAGTGATGATTCCTCCTCCGTTGGTAAAAGTAGTAGAACAGCCAAAAAAATGTAGAAGAACAGCCAAATGACCAAAAAGTGCCGTCGGGGCAAGGGGCAGTTGCACTGTTTAACCCGACGTGACTCTGAGGAAGCTGTGTTGGATGATAAGGTAAAATAAATTATAAGCAGGAAATATTGAATTTAAAATATTTATTATTTTTTTTTTTTTTACCAAGCAAGTTAAGACTTTTCGTGGTAATAAACTAACCGAAATCCCGAGGAAACCACAAAAGCCGGCAACTTTTGTGGTTCCTCAAGAGACTAATATACTACCCCAAATCCCCCTAACAACCCCGATGTGGGACTGAACCCCCAAACAGGGCAGCTGCTACTAGGCCTAAACTATATTTGAAAAAGAAAAAAGTCCGACTCCTGAGTTGGTGGAGTCGAGATATGGCCCCACCATTCTATTTTAGGATAAAATGATAATTCTAAACTTTTTTAATGCATTACTCAAATTTATTTGTACCCTATTTAAATTTATTTACACTATTTCAATTTGTTTACACCTTAAGAAATTTGGTTTATGATAAAACTTTTGAAATCCGTCCGTGTGGAAATTGGGACGGAGGGGTACGAGGCATCTACAACTGCCCGTGGCAATAATGTGTAATGTATACACTATAAGAATAAATGTAGACACTAATGTAATACTAGTTTATTTGTATCTCATGCAATGCACGAGGGTGTCCAGTTTTTGCTAAAGTTATTAGTTATGTGTGTGGAGTTAAAGAGTGGGTGTGTGCAAATTTGATGATGCAAGAGTTATAATTCAGAACACATAAGTACATTGTTTTATAGCAGTATGTACACGATCAAAAGTTGGTCATTACAGGATAGAAAGATAAAAAGAGTAGACAAAAACACTATTTACATTAGGAAAAGTAGATGCTTGCATGGTAGAAAACTAATGTCAACAGCTATTGCAAAGAGCAAAACATAGGTGGGGTACATGGTTTTAGACATAGTACAAAAAAAACACACTAAATTTGCATTTGGAGCATTTTAGACAGACATGCAACTTCACCAATTGCTTCCATGTAATATGGCAACAAAACCAATGTACCAGTAACCCAACTTTTTTTTTTTCGAAACGATAAGTACTTGTATTACTTGACAAGAACTTTACAAGTGCGAGCAAAGGCTCGATTGAACTTTACAAGCGGTGATTTTACCACTAAGGAAACCAAAATTCCTCATCCAAAATAATGTCTAAGGCATGAATACTAAGCTTGGAGCTTAGTTGAGTCTTATCTTTTCTAACTAGGCAAAAGGAGCACATATGAAACAATTCTCTTAGTTGAGTAATGTCATCAACCACAGTAGCTCGTAGAATGTCACTTACTCTGTTTGTGCGGATATAGTTGAGGAGTTGAGGACTTTGCACTTGGAATATCACTTCCGTTAATAGCTCTGCGGCAGCCTTACACATTGCCAATTTAAGTGTAATTGCTACATCCACCAGGTTTGATCCTGAACTTCTAGCCCGTATCGCCCAACCTCGGTGGAATCCTTGATCACCTTGTCTCAAACTTATTCCAATGCCTAGGCCATGATTGGCCATATCTGAAGTTACTCCAATCCTCACTTCCACTGTCCCATGTTCTGAGTCTAACTGCGGTATTTGTTGATGAAAAACTGATGTTTCCTCTGTGCTCTTCCTAGTTTCTTTTATATCTAGTTCCACCATCTCTAACCATTCCTGGCGTGTCTTTTGTATTGTCTTCCAAGGCTATTAAATTTCAGCTCATTCCTAGCTTTCCATATTTGCCATAGAATATGTACAGAAAAAGAAATGTGTTGCCATCCTTCTGGTCTGTTCCTGGCTTCTGAGATTGATGTCCACCAACTTCTAAAACTCCCATGTTGCTCCATCATTCCTTCCCATTGGACAGGGGCTAACTTCCAAATCAGTTTAGCTTCCCTGCAGTTCAAAAGAGTATGTTCTATCGTTTCCATTTCCGCTCCACATCTGCTACAAATGAGGTCCCCAATTTTGGTTCTACCGAACATAAGAGCTCTGATTGGGAATGCATCATTAAAGCATTTCCATAAGAATATTTTTTGTTTGTTTTGTGCTTCACCTTCAGTTTCCACAAGTCCTTCCATAGCCTTTGGGTTTGATCCTCCCCGCTTGTAGAGGTCTCCTTCTTGATTCTGTTGTGCTTCCTTTCCTCGTGACCCACTTGTAATTTATACCCAGAACTTACTGAATAGTTTCCATCAGTCCCATATATCCAGAAATGCCTATCTTCCTTCCCTGCTAGACTTATAGGTGTAGCCAGGATCCTTTCAGCATCTTGTGGATTAAAATTCTTGAAGACCAGATTAGTATTCCATGTCTTGTGACAGATCAACTCATGAACTTTGTGCAGTCCATTGTCCATGTCTCTCGTGGTAGTCACTCTTCCATTTAGATTACTCAGAATCCAGCTATCTTCCTATTTATTAGTGTTCATTCAATTACCAATCTTTCTTCTCGTTCCTAGATTCACCAGCTCTCTAGCACCCATAAGGCTCCGCCATATCCAAGATGTATTGTTGGGGACTTTGCATCTAAATATAGAGGTAGTTGGGAAGTATTTTGCCTTCATGACTTGACTAACAAGAAAATTAGGCTGAGTTATCAATCTCCAAACCTGCTTGCTGAGAAGTGCTGTGACGCCCCGAGGCAGAAGAAAAGGGAAAAATTTCTGGTGAATAGAGTTTTGTGGGAAAATCCGGCCAGAAGCCGTGCAAATTCCTTATATTTTTCTTAAAATTCCCTTTTCTTTGACAAATACCACTTTATAATGGCCATACTACTCAATCACCCCACAATAAGTGTCAATGAACCTAGAAAATAGGATTTTTCACTTCGGTTTCAAATTGAGCAAAATTAGGTTTTCTCGATTTTCTCGCCGGATGAATTTTCGGTATGGAGCAAGGATTAAATTTGGTGAATAAAAGTGACTTTTAAGTGAGAAATAATATGTGATTAGGAGAAATGAAATAAAGTTAGTGAATGGGAAGTAAAAACCCTAGTGCGGGTGTTTTTAAGGAAAACGGCGCGAACCGACGGGTCCCGCGCACTACCGTTTGAACGCACCACTGGACCACCACTTTCTTGCACCACAAGCTTATTGATATTTGAGCTAAAATATCTTCTTATATTACAGCTAAGGGGACCGAAATTTGTGGCTTATAAGCAAGGGGAAGAAAGAGAAAAAATTAGTGGCTAAGAATTGTCCAAGTGTTAGCCAAATTGTGGTCTTAATTAACTCTAACCTTCTTACTTCTTATAAGACAAAAATCAGCTTCATTTCTCTTCATTTTCTGCCAAGGGAGCCGAGAGAGGGAGAGGGAAGAACAAGAGTGAGCTTTCTTCATTTCTTCTTGATTCAAGCTACAAAGTGAGGAATCCAAAGAACTAAACCGATTAATCTTGTCTTTGAGGGGTTAGATAGTGTTTGGTAGTGAAGGTTTGGCAAGGGAAAGCTTGGGGCTGCCCTTAGTGATCTCTAACCAAGGTAAGAGAGCTTATCTCTCCAAGTTTTAGTTTCAATCTTGTTCAATTAAGTTTGGTAACTTGATTTTACGGTGAAATCATGGATGATTAACATGTTTTAGTAGTTTTCCCCTTTCTTATTTGATGAACTAGGGCTTGGTGAAATTCTACCCAAATTGTTGTAAGATGCTTATATGTTGCAATTGAGGTTTCATAAGGTGTTGTGGTAGTGATTAGACCAAGAAATTAAGGAAAGATTCACTAGAAACCGAAAATTTCAGAATCTGGAAAATTATTGCCAACTTTCTGTCCGAAATTTTAACTGTATGTTAGAGGCTGATTTGGCCTTGGGTCAAAGAAGGAAAGTTGTAGAGAATGGTATTTTATAGGTGCCTATAAAATTTCAGCTCAATCGGAGCAACGTAGGTCATGAAAAGTCCGAAATACCCCTACTGTTTCAATTGTTTCCCAGCAGTCCGTTTCTTCAGCTAAGTTCAGTTTATCGCATTTTTTGACCAGGATCCATTCTGATTTAGCTCTGGGTCAAAACATGAAAGTTGTAGTGTTCTGAAGTAGCTTTAAAATCCCTCTAAGAACACCTGAATTGGACTTTTGTACACTGAGTTATGTCCATTACAGTGTTCTGCATTTAAACAGCCGACGAATTGGTTTCTGGTTTAGTAATTCGAGAATTTGACTAAGTTACATTAGGAACTGGACTAAGTGACCTTCATGAATGTTGTAGCTCTGTGTCTTGGCTTCGAAACGGCGTAGGTTTCGTTTTAATCCGATAAGCGTAGCCTCGGATATGTTATTTCCGCATTTGTACGACAAATCTGTCTTGAACTAAATTGAATTTCTGCACTTGTACTTAATGCGATTCTTGTTATTATGATATTGTGAGCCTATGGAATGGCTCTTGACATAAATTGCTGATATGTATGATGTTGGGTTGTGTTTGAGAAAAACAATGAAACCTAAAAGGCTGGAAAATTAGGTAAACACAAAGGGCATACTGCCCGAATTTATACTCGAGGACTAGGAAACGAGACTTGTAACTTGTGTAAAGTTAAGTGATTATTACTTGAACTAGCAAGCACCTTTGCTACTTTGTTTATCGAGGGTTATACATTAGGACTTGGCCGAACTTGTACCCTTGAGGAAAAGACATAATGGCTAATGTAAACTTGTATTTCCTTGTACTTTCAACTCAAGTGTTATTTCCAAGTATCTATACTACAAAACCTTATGATTTGAAAAGCGAGCAAGTGTTTCACGAATGCCTTTCAAATGAATTTCAATTTGTTGATTCTTAATGAACGGAACGTTTAAGTTTCGAATCTTACTCGTGTTTCAAGTTCTCAAATTGAATTTTATCGCAGAGCTGGACTTCAAACCTGGAGTATAGTTGAACGTGAATACTTGAAACACTATATTTTGTGTGAGTGATCCCTCGACTGTCCCAAAGTTACTTTTGAACTAATTCTTGCATTTATTACTCCATTGCATATCATTTGGGGGTTCGGGTGTGTGCCATGACATAATTTGGC